ACCACGGCATCTTTTTTTTTTTTTTTTCTTCTTTTGCCTTTTCTGAATTTTTTTTTTTTCCCTCGATGTCAGTAGCAGCTGTGCGTGCCTACCTCGCTAATTTTTTTTTTTTTTTTTTTTTTTCTCTCCCCGATATGATATATAAACACAGCGCGCGTCCAAAAAGAAGAAGAAGAAGCCCTCCTTGAGAAATTCTAGCCTAACCTCTCATTCAACCTTAGCCCGCAGCTGCCATTGAGAATATCTATACCACTCATCGTTTTCTTCCCGTTTTCCAAGTGACACTATTCTCGGCCATAAAATAAAATTCTCGCAGGTATACGGGTTCATTTTTTTTTCTCCCCTCGTCGTTTTCTTTTTTTCCTTTTGGAATATACAATTAAAAACACTTGCACATATGAAACTGGTATTTTTTTTTTTTTTTTTTTTATTAAAACTGGGGGTTAAAAATATTTTGGGGGATGCGAATCAACTGGAATGGCATACAACACAATATTCGCGGAGCGCCCTCGCCAATCTGAAATCCTCGTGACTTCGATCGTGTCCCGAAGTCTGCCGACCCCCGACCTCATATATATGAAAACCGAGGCTCTACTGGTTAAACCCCGAATATCGACCTCGAAACAAGTGAAATCCGCCCTTAGAGACCGGCGCGAGTTTTCATTACAAAAAAAAAAGAAAAAAAAAAAAATTTTTCAGAATAAATCGAAAGGCATTTCAAAGAAGAGTAATTGAAAAATTAATTCATCCATTACAGATGAAATAATCGCTAATGTTTCTTCTCACTTTATGTTCAGCCATTATTATTATTATTATTTTGAAAAGTCAAAAAAAAAAAATTATTCACTTCTCAACACAATTGTTTGACACTACTCGCATGACACTTGGGAGACACGTGCACCTCTCAATCTCTCGCTCACTTCTTCGTGTATCTTCGACTTTTTTCCTCTGTTTCTTTTGAATGATGGAAAAAAATAAACACCTGCTTTTTTTGCCACCTGGACTTTATTTTCTTGATCACTTGTTTCAATATTTTTTTTTTATTTTCTAATCACTTTTTTGGGACATAATTTAATGATTGAATTTTTTGGTCCTTTTTATCCACTTTTTAAATCATCCTTTAAATTCAGTTAAAATGGATTTTTTTTTTGAAGAACTGACTTCTTTTTTTTTCAATGAAGGTTGATGCATCGAAAGGTGCACTTTGGGGGAATAATACAATAATGGAGCGACGCAGACATTTTTATTATTCAGTGCTCAGGGTCAATGGACAGTCACCTGTAAAGTGGGAAGAGAAGAAGACGACGCGTCTATACAGTAGGAGAGCAATGATATTGAACGTGGGGTAACGAGATAGAATTTTCTTTTTTTTTTGTTTATAAATAAAATCTTGATAATTGGAGAAAATTGATGAGATGAGCGAGATAGAGAGATGGGAGTGATAAAGAGAAAGAGAGACAGGATGTCAACACACAATGGCACAAATATTCGAGTTCAACTGACAGTGCTGAAGAGCACGAGTCATGAACGATCGTGCCACGAACGTTGAGATTCGCATGTTACGCGTGCACGAGCTCGACTAGCTGAACACGTTTACCCCTTCTCGTTTCAGGCATTTGCCTTCTTCTCTCTTCGCTCTTTCACACTGGATTTCTCCCCCTCTATTCACAGGATCGGCAATAGTTGGAGAGAAATACTGGAGCAAGAAGGAAATAGAGAAAAATTGACAAAAAAAAAATTTTTTTTTTTCTATATTCAATATGAAATTATTAATAAAATTTAGAAATGTAGGGGGAAATTTCAATACAAGGGATGAAAATTTACTCTAAATGAGTGAAATTACACCAAGAGAGTGAAATTTAACTTCAAGGAGTGTAATTTAACTCAATGAAGTGTAATTTTACTCCATGGTGTGTAATTTTACTCCATAGTGTGTAATTTTACTCTATACAATGAAATTCAACTTCATGTAGTGAATTTTACTCAATGCAGTGTAACTGTACTCCATTGAGTGTAATTTAACTCCGTAGAGTGTAATTTTACTCTTTTGGTGTAAGAATTCCATTCCAAAAAAATTACTCCAAAAAAGGAAAATTTTTATTTAAAAAAATGCGAAACTTCCCACGTAGTAAAATGTTCTATAGTGAGAGTTATTTCCCTACTATATTGGAGTAAAAACAAAAAAATACAAGTTAAGCATAGTTCAAAATTCACTCCGAAAGATTAAAAATTCACTCAGAGTAAAATATTCTAATTGAGAGTTAATTTTCCACTACATTGAAATATAAAAATATAAATGTCAACAAAGTGAGAATAAATTAGAGTTTAACATTCACTACAAAAAGAGTAAAATTTTCCTTCATGTGAAATATTGTATTAATTTTCTATTTTGTTAAAATAAGAAAAAAAATTTTCAATAAATGAAAGTAAGTCTGAGTATAGAATTCACTCTGAAAGAGTAAAATTCTACACTCTCAGGCAAGCTTTAAATTAACTCCTGTTAGTCACTGTAAAGGAGTGAAATCTTACTCCAAAAGGATGAATAACAATTTCAGTAGAAATATATATATATATATATGTTTACAATAAAAGTAATATTTAATATTTAGTTTAAAAATTATTAAAATTAAAAACTACTTTCTAAATTCACTCCAAAAGAGTCAATTTTTACTCTATAAATATTTTTTGTATGATAATCGAATGTTACAATTTGTCAGCAAAGAAAAAATCTACAATACTGAAAGTGAATTTCAAAACAGAAATCAGAAAATAGATTTACAATATATGGGAAAATTTACTCCCAAAAGAGTAGAATTTTACGTCAATGGAGTGAATTTTTCATTATCACGCTGCATAACGTAATTTTAATTTCTTTTAAATAATTTATTACAACAATTATAACTATTCAATGAAATTGCACATTTTTTTTCTAAAAAAGAATAATTTCAAAAAAAAAAATTTTTTTTGATGAAAATAACAAGGGATGCAAAGGACTAGAGACGACCCTGAGCTCTCCTCACGCCCTTTTCTCTTGCCAACTGCTGATCGACCAGCGCTCTAGGGAAGACACATGCTTATCCTTTGTTACGCTCTTCTTTCTCTTACTGCTTTTTAATCGAAATTAACATGAACAAAATTTTGGATAATTATATGAATTATTATTTTTTTTTTTTAATCTCAAAATAATTAATTACTTAAGAGGGGATTATTTTTTTAAATTTCACTTTTAAGTGACAGAAATAAGCGGACTCAATTGATTTTAAAAGCTTTTCATTTAACACTTGAGGTTTTTCATGCAGCCACTTTTCATATGCGGCTGGTGTTCTCAAGTCTAAGAGGGTACTTAGACAGAAAAAAAAAAAGAAATTTGAAGAAACCAAAAAGTGAGAAAATAACTACGACGTGGGATGAAAATTAAGCAAGCGACCAAAGAAACTTGACCAACCTCAAGTTTATCTTCTTTTTTTTCAACAAGATGCAAAAAATATATTCTTAATTTTTGTTACCAACTATTTCTATTTTAGGGAAAATTTATATATTAATTTATCTATAATAATTAAGAATTTCTATAAATATTTGCAATTATCAAAAATTGAAAATTATTGAATTTCTTCTCTTAAAAACAATTTCTTTTTGAGATGAAAACTGACAAGCTTATTTGCGCTGACAGCTCATTAGTGATAAGCGGTACGTTTCGCAGGAGGGCAATTAAATTCCTTTTAAGTTTTTCTTTGTGAAAAACATAATTTTTCTAAAATTGGTAAAATGTTAAATAAGCGAAAAATAGAGCATTTTAGGGGGGAAAAAAATATCTAAACAGGAAATTGTAATTTAAATTTTTTATAACAATTTTTATAAAGATAAAACTTTATTGTTTACGAATAATTAAAATTGCCAATAAAATATAAAAAGAAAAATAAATTAGAAAATATTTAAAATGATTTTCTATTAAATAAAATAAAAGCATATCGAATTTTTACTAAACAAGGGAAAGTGTGAAGATAAAAATTATAAGGCTCAGGTGTGGAAATATGCTTTTTACACTTCGTATAACAAAGGTTTTTAATCAGTAGAATGTTTCATGTCCAATCGCGTTAAGGTTTGTGATTACAAAGTATACCAAAACAAAGACACTAAGTAAGTTTTACTGTCGTTCAGTTATTTGTACATTTCCTTCAGGATGTGTAATCTTACGTAATTGTCATTTAAATAAGAAAATAGTTAATTACTTCTAATCAAATATTTAAAAAAAATAAAATTAAAATTTGGTAAAAAAAAGAAAATTCTATTTTTACATTCTATTTTTATTTACTTTTATTTGTTTCTATTTTTAATTTTTTGTTCATGGGAGACAATTTAAATAATGTGAAAAAAGATTTTCTACCTTATCAATTTTGTTGTAGATAACAGTTGAGTAGTAGCAATGTATGGTAAGTATATACCGACAGAAGTTACATACCCGCTAGTCGGTAATAGTTACCGACTGATGATATTTTACCGACATCGAAATCTACTTTATCAACAAACGGTTATAATTTGAATGATGATATGATAACTTTTGAATACCTACGAAAAGTAAGTAAACAAATTTGTGTCATCCGTAAGTACTATCCTGTTTCGATAAAATTTATCAACCGATGTTATTTTCATAAACAGAAATCTTTATAATAAAGACCTACAATTGAATACTTTTAAGAATCTTTGTTTTTCGTGTATTTTTTGTGAAATCAATTTTTAGAAGAAAAAATTGTTCTCGTCTTTTTTTAATTGTAAAACTTACCTTTACTATTATTATTTGTTATTTTGTCAATTTCAAAAGTAGTTATTTGTTTTGTTAATAATTATTACTAGAAAGGACCCAAAAAATTTTTTAGATCTAAATCAATTCTGATTACAGAATTATTATTAAAAAATAAATAAATATATAGGTAACTAAATGATCTTCGAGGTTTTTTTTTTTTTTGGTAAATTATGGAAAAAAAATAAAATTAATAACTTACCCCCTTCATCTGTAGTGACAGTAACTGAAGTAGGTGGTCCTCGACCTTCTGGATTGAAAACTTCTAAAGAAACTAAGTACTGGGTGTAGGTTTCCAAGTTGTGGATGGTGTGGCTCTGAAATAGGAAACGAACTTAACTAAACTTTTAGAACTTTGGTAAAAGTAATTAACTTCCAACAAAATTAATTTCAATTTAACTATGTATATATGTGCATAAATACTTAAAATTTTCCAAGCACTTGACAACTAAGTGTCTAAAAGCACGACTATATAATATACAATTTTCCAAGAAATTTAATTCAAATCTCTGAATTATATATACAATAATTTAAATTACAACTACATTTGTATAATATAGAATTCATTTCACCTATATTTAAATACACTTATAAAATATACACATAAAAGAATTTTACTATGAAAAGTTTTTAATTATTTTTTTTTTTTATTTATAATATACAATGAAAATCTATATATATATATATCATACAGAATAAGGATTAAATTGAGTATTATTATTATTTAATGAATTAAAACGAGATTTTGTTGAGATAAATTTTTAATCACATTTAATTGTGTTAACGTAACAGAAATATACATTGATTTATCGTTCATTGTATAAAATACGAATTCTAAAATTTAATGATACGATTTTATGTATATATTCAATATAATTCAGAGTTATATTTGAAATTTCATAAAATAATATTAGAAAGCTGAATTACTTAATTCATAAATAAGATGAATAAAAACTTAGTTTTTTATTTTATAAATATTCAAATATTAAATATATTATTAAATTATTTATTATTTTCTAAAATAATTGAGTCATCTTTTTTTTCAAATTATTGATTTACAATATTATTATTGTAGGTTTATATTGAGAAAAAAAGTTGTATTTCCTAATAGTGAATTAATAATAATAAGTACTTTATTGTTTTGATAATAAAAATGAAAATTAATTGTAAATTGAATCGCTTAATGCACACTTGGAGTAGATTGAAGTAATCTTGGAAGGATAAAATTTATATATGAAAAAAAAAAGTTCTGGGAAATTATAAAAAGTCCTCTATAAGCCTGATACTTTTGGTGGTCACGTTAAGATTTTCTATAAGCTCGAGGGGGATCAACTTGAAGGCAGAGAGAGAGAGAGAGAGAGAGAGAGGGAGAGAGAATAGAGAAGGATTATCTGGGATAGTTGAATGCCTTGGAAGCCCTAGAGGGACGAAGCTTTTGGAAGTAGGTGACAGTGTCCCTAATTTGTGTTGGTAAAATACAACTACTTACTATGTCGGTCACAAAAGGACACTGATTTAACCCTTACTAATAAGACTTAAGACTTCATTGTAATTAAGACCATGTCTTAGAATCTTAAATGTCACCTATTCCTTTATTACAGTTTCTTTGTCTTTATGTAGTTCTTAACTTTACTATATATATGATAATTTTACTCTAATTTTACTACATCATAATAACTCTAAAATAATATGGTTTATAGTATGATTTTTTATTACCATAGATTGCAAGTAGTATAAAATGAAACTACTGTAAATTTAAGTAGAAAAAGTTAGTTACGCTCAGACAGAACGTATTTTAAATTTGATTTTCAGTAGTAAAAGTCAGTCATAGTCAGACAACAGACATGGAATATTTGCAATATTAGTAATAAATCTCGATATCAGTCAGACGGAAAGTTTAAATTTAATGTAATTTTAGTATCAGTGGTAAAAGTAAGTTGTAGTCAGACAAACATTTTTTTTTTAAATTACTGTGATTTTTTAGTAGTAATCTTATTTTTAGTAGTCAATGTTATTTTTAGTCAGACTAAATCAAGAACACGGAATTCGCAAAATTAGATCTCTAATCTACGTCACGGAATCGGCGAAAGTAGATCACGATTTTCGCGTAATTAAATCCCAGATTCTGCTAAATTAAGTCATAGTTTTCCCCGAATTAGGTCACGGATTCGTTAAAATAATGTCGCGCTTTTTGTCAATTTAGAACGTAAAATTTAAATCGTAAATCTAAATAACAAAATCCAAGAAATTAGATCACGGATTCTACGAATCTCGGTGAAGCAATCCGCGAAATCATATAACGAAATCCGCGAAATTAGTTCACGATTTCCCTGTACTTAGATCGAGGATTTTGCGAATCAAGGTCACGGAATACGCGAAACAAGTTCACGATTTTCGCGTAATTAAATCACAGATTCTGCTAAATTAAGTAATAGTTTTCCCCGAATTAGGTCACGGATTTGTTAAAATAATATCGCGCTATTTGTCAATTTAGAACGTAAAATTTAAATCGTAAATCTAAATAAGGAAATCCAAGAAATTAGATCACGGATTCTGCGAAACTAATTCACGGATTTCGTGTAATTAGATCACGGATTTCGCGAATCTAGGTAAAGGAATCCGCGAAATCATATCACGAATTCCGCGAAACTAGTTCACGATTTCCCTGTACTTAGATCACGGATTTCGCGAAATTAGATCGCGAATTTGCGAATTTAGGTTATTGAATTCGCGGAATTAAATCACAGATTTCACGAATCACGGTCACGGAATACGCGAAACAAGTTCACGATTTTCGCGTAATTAAATCACAGATTCTGCTAAATTAAGTCATACTTTTTCCCCGAATTAGGTCACGGATTCGTTAAAATAATGTCGCGCTTTTTGTCAATTTAGAACGTAAAATTTAAATCGTAAATCTAAATAACGAAATCCAAGAAATTAGATCACGGATTCTGCGAAACTAATTCACGGATTTCGTGTAATTAGATCACGGATTTCGCGAATCTAGATAAAGGAATCCGCGAAATCATATCACGAATTCCGCGAAACTAGTTCACGATTTTTCTGTATTTAGATCACGGATTTCGCGAAATTAGATTGATAATTTTTGGGAATCTAGGTCATTGTATCCGCGTAATTAGATCGAGGATTTTGCGAATCAAGGTCACGGAATACGCGAAACAAGTTCACGATTTTCGCGTAATTATATCACGGATTTTGCGAAATTAGTTGACGGTTTCTCCGTACTTAGATCACGGATTTTGCGAATCTAAGTCACGGAATCTGCGAAAAAAGTTCACGGTTTTCGCGTAATTTTATCACGTATTCCGAAAACCTAGATTATGGATTTCGCGAAATTATATCACGAATGTGGATTACGGAATCCTCGAAATTAAATCACGGATTCCGCGAAGCAAGGTCACGGAATCCGCGAAACAAGTTCACGATTCTCGCGTAATTATATCACGGATTTTGCGAAATTAGTTAACTGTTTCTCCGTACTTAGATCACGGATTTCGCAAATCTAGGTCACGGAATCCGCGAAACAAGTTCACGATTCTCGCGTAATTATATCACGGATTTTGCTAAATTAGTTGACGGTTTCTCCGTACTTAGATCACGGATTTCGCGAAAATAGATCGCGAATTTGCGAATCTAGGTTATTGAATCCACGTAATTAAATCACAGATTTCACGAATCTAGGTCACGGTTTTCGCATAATTATATCACGAATTTCGCGAAATTAGTTGACGGTTTCTCCGTCACGGATTTTGCGAAATTAGATCGCGAATTTGCGAATTTAGGTTATTGAATTCGCGTAATTAAATCACAGATTTCACGAATCTAGGTCACGGAATCCGTGAAAAAATTTCACGGTTTTCGCATAATTTTATAACGGATTTCGCGAAATTAGTTGACGGTTTCTCCGTACTTAGATCACGGATTTCGCGAATCTAGGTCACGGAATCCGCGAAAAAAGTTCACGGTTTTCGCGTAATTTTTATCACGTATTCCGAAAACCTAGATTATGGATTTCGCGAAATTATATCACGAATGTGGATTACGGAATCCTCGAAATTAAATCACGGATTCCGCGAAGCAAGGTCACGGAATCCGCGAAACAAGTTCACGATTCTCGCGTAATTATATCACGGATTTTGCGAAATTAGTTAACTGTTTCTCCGTACTTAGATCACGGATTTCGCAAATCTAGGTCACGGAATCCGCGAAACAAGTTCACGATTCTCGCGTAATTATATCACGGATTTTGCTAAATTAGTTGACGGTTTCTCCGTACTTAGATCACGGATTTCGCGAATCTAGGTCACGGAATCCGCGAAAAAAGTTCACGGTTTTCGCGTAATTTTTATCACGTATTCCGAAAACCTAGATTATGGATTTCGCGAAATTATATCACGAATGTGGATTACGGAATCCTCGAAATTAAATCACGGATTCCGCGAAGCAAGATCACGGTTTTCGTGGATTTAGATAAGGGATGTTTTAAAACTATGGCGACGATTTTCGCGAATTTAAGATTTGCTGAATTAGATCGCGGATACCGCGAATTAAAATTGCAGAATCGTGAATCTAGATTACACGGATTTCGAAAAATAAAAACAAAAGAATTCTGTCGCAGTTCTTTGCGTGAAAAAAAAAATGTTTTGTATGAATAGAATTAAAATTTTTCTGAAGCAAGATTACAATTCTTTTTCTCGCGTATATTTCTATCGACTTATATATATTTCAAATGATTCATTCTCAAGACGATGGGGTTTAAAAAAAATGTTTCTCAGTAGACTAAAAATATCTTTTGAATATTCTTCGACTATCTTACCTCAATAGTGGGATCTCGAATGTAAATCTCCTTCTCCTCTATATCTTCGTAGCCTTTGTTGCTTCGTGGCCGATAAGAAATTCTGTATCCGAGAAATTCACCATGGATCGTATCGTGATTTGGTGGTTTCCACGCGATAAATATCGAAGAGGCTGACGTATTGTGGGCCAATGTAATTGTAGGTTTTCCTTCGGGAACTGTAACAAAAAAAAAAAATAAATAAATTTATAAATAGAATATTATTTGAAAAATCATTTTTTTTTTTCAAAAACCATTTGTATTTTGTATTTTACATACAAGAAAAAAAAACAGTTTTCATCAGCTAAATATTACATAATTGCTCTGAATAAATTACATGTCACACATGGAAATTATATTAGACTTAAAAGCCAGAGAGCAAAACTTGGTAAATGTTTGCATTCTCCGGTAATTTATCATAAAACTAGAATGGTGTCAACGTCATAATTCTAAATTGTTTAAATGAATTAAACAACTGTTAAATGCTTCTACATTATATTTCAAAGGCAAATCAACACATTTACTTATAAAAAAAATATTTTTCTTCAAGTTTGAAAAGTTTTTTTTTTAAAAAATAAAAAATTAAATATTTTGTTAAATTGAAAAAAATATTCGTAAAAAAAGTTTTGAATTTAATGTATATGTTAGGCTCAAAGACCGAAAACGCTCATTGAGCGAAAAAATCGACCACAACGCGTTGTGGCCGTTTCAATTCAGCCACAACGCGAAATTCGTGTTGTGGCATGACCAAAAATGCACAGAACGCGTTGTGGCAATTCAAAAAGGGCCACAAAGCAAAATTCGTGTTGTGCCTCTTTTAATAATCGACCACAACGCGTTGTGGCAATCAAGAAATGCCACAACGCGTTGTAAATAAAAATTTGCTCTCTCATCGTCTAATAGAAATGAGAATAGAATTTTTGTCGTTTGTAAACAAGGTAATCCTTAATTACCTATCTCACACTTTCATACTTAATTAATAGAATAGTATTAATAACGTTATTATACATATATACGTAGATTTGTTTGAAAATATTTTTAGTTTGAATTTAACACTTGACAAGTTAGTTCTGTGACTATCTTTAATTGACCAAACTGTGTAAGATTTTAACGGTAAGTTTTATATTTCTTATAAATTTAACATTACGTATACCAAAAATTGCTTAAAAAAATTAGACATCTCTAGTTATGGAAGCCGAACTTAAAAAAAAAATATACCAACGTTACTCGACAAATCATAAACGTGTACTTGAGTTTATGCGAACAATGCCAGTTGAAAAAAAAGTCTTAATAATGTAACGTGCAATTCAAAATGTCATAATAATAGCTCATGTAAAAATAAATAATTGTCATCATAAATAAAGTTCATCAATAAGCAAAAAAAAATTGTATCATTTACTACTACAACGCGTAGTAGTTTAATATTAAAAGAGGCAGACCGCGTTGTGGCATGTCTTAATTAGCACAACACGTTGTGGTTTAATATGAAAAGAGCCAATACGCGTTGTGGCATTTCTTGATTGCCACAACGCGTTTTGGTCGATTATTAAAAGAGACACAACACGAATTTCGCTTTGTGACCCTTTTTGAATTGCCATAACGCGTTCTGTGCATTTTTGGTTATGCCACAACACGAATTTCGCGTTGTGGCTGAATTGAAACGGCCACAACGCGTTGTGGTCGATTTTTTCGCTCAATGAGCGTTTTCGGTCTTTGAGCCTAACATATATATATATATATATATATATAATATCCTACATACAATATCCGTTATGTTGTTTATAGCTTTAATGTTTGTATTTCCTTTGATAAAGCAATCTAAGCTATCGATATACCAAAGTACACACACACATACATTTATACTATATATATATATATATATACAAAGTCGATTCGTGGAGTTACTTGTAAATACAACATCGAATGAGACGAAACGAGAAATGTGACCGGATGTGCGGAGAAGCATGACAGCAATCAAGAGGGTGCTAGTCGATTCCCTAGTTATTGACTATTAGGTTTCTCTCACAGCACTCAATGTTTTTTGGCTTCAAGTCCCAATAATGAAAACTGAACATTCCCAGCAAAAAAAAAAGGAAATAAAAAAAAAAAGTGAATGGTATAAAAGACATCTATTGAATTCTATCTCTCTATTTCTTTCAGGACAGGAAAATTAAATTCCTGCAGGGAAATCATAGAAAAATGCACTTTTTTTTAACTATATAGTCTTTTCAATTACTCTTCTTAATTGTCCTTTTGGATGCAATATATATATATAGTTCTATTTCCGTTCCTTTGCTTCGATATGGCGCACAATGTAATAAAACGATGTATTCAACATTTAAAACGTTATTTCAAGAAATTTAACAATGTTACTCGATATCATTGTTCGTGGATATATTTTTTCAGTGAAAAAAAAATTGGTTTATGTCGAGCGAAAAAGATGTAATTTTTTCTAAAAAAAAAAAAAAGAGGAATTTCAAAACTGTTTTTCAAATTGTTTGAAATTTGGAAAATATAATTTTGATGGAACTAGCAACGATTGTATTTTTAATTTGTTTCATTTTAGTGAGAATATTCTTTAGTAAAGAGGAAACTTTTGCAGTGTGTTTGTAGTTGAGGGATTAAGGTATCGAATTGTGAGCGTTAGGGTCGTGCGTTCAATTCCCGGCGGTTGGGAATTTTTTTTCTCTTAGTATAATATATCACATTTGTATAAGATAATAATATAAATAAATATTATATAATATAAATAAATATTATACAATATAAATAAATATTATATAATATGAATAAATATTATACAATATAAATAAATGCTAAACAATATAAATAATTATTATACAATAATAGAACTAAATATTAAAGCTTTTAATAAAAATTAATTAAACATTTGAAACTACCATTAATTGTAGATTCGATTAGGAAAATTTTTTTTAAAGCAAAAAAATTAAGAGTTGAAAAGTTCACCAAAGTCTTAATCCGTGAATGCTGGTACAAATAACATTTTTTTCTCCCAACATAATTATTTAATGTTACGTAATTTTGCAAAATGGGTTAATCTTTTCCTTTTTCCTTTTTTTTTTTTTTTTATCAGAGAATGCAAATTCGTATAAAGTGACACAGTTTAAAGGTGAAATCCGCGTATCGTTCACTCGTGTCCTGTTCACGGATAAAAAGTGCTGGTCAATGATAAGCCTAAGCAGGAAATGACCAATGGTCACGAAGCTGGATAACGTGTCGTGGGAAATAGTAAACTTGATAAGTGTGTCCGATATTATTTTTTTTTTTTTTTTTTTCGTGAAAGTGCAACTTGACTATATGTACAATTTTACTTTTTTAGTTTTTTTTTTATTTTTGTACAATATAGGTATTATACTTTTTTTGTCGCATGAGTTCTTTTCATTCTATCCTATTATTTCATCTCTATATGTGTTTGTATCCTTGGTCACGTAGTTTTTTTTCCTTATCACATTCATCGGCCTCTATATACTTTGCCCTGAGCTGTAGGAAATTACAGAGGACAATGTAGCTTTTTATCCTTTGGACAGAGATATTATCCATATCGCGAAAACATCTAACCCTCTTCTTTGTCGAGAAACACTTTTGAAATATTTAACTAAATAAATAAATGGTTCAGATATATAATTCTAAAAGAGTTTACGTGCTGTAATTTTGTTTTCAAAATATTTCTAGACTTTCATTTTACTTCAATTCAATTGGAAATAGAAATTACATATGTTAAAAAAAAAAAATTGTAGTTTATAATAAAAATAATTTTTACTTTTTTTTTATATGAAAAAATTTATGTGTATAAAAATATTTTAATTAATTAATAAAAAAAATAAATATAATTTATTTAAATAATTGTTTTTTAATGTCAATTATTAGCTGACTTTTAATTATATTTAAATTAAAAATTTTAATTGAAAAAATATGAAATATTTTTATAATATCAACATGTTTGGAATTTTAATATATCCTTCAAGTTAAATAATTTTTAATATTAAAATTTAATATAAATTAAAAGTTAATATTAAATTTACTAAAAGTTTATACTAATTTATATATAAAAAGTACTATTCAAAAGTTTAATTAACAATTATATAAAATTTCCATTGTATTTTCAATTTTTCAGTTATATATCTACAATAATTACAGTTTTGATTCTAATTACAGTTTAAGTTTTAATTCAATTTAATTATAATTTTAGTAAAATTTTAATTTAATTAAATGTTCATTCAAACTTTGCGATTCGACATTTTTAAAAGTTTGACAAATTTGATTGCAAAATTATTATAAATAATTGTTGATTTAAAAAAAGGCCTTTAAAATTCAATACCTATAATTTAGAAAAATAAGATAAATTTATAGATAAGGACAAGTTATGTGGTTATAAAAAAAATACCTTCGTTTATCTTTAACAATATTTCTGAAAAAAAATTTAGTGCGTATAAAGATTGGAAAAAAACGATTATGTAAAAAATGATCCATAAACTTGTTTTCTAGTAAACCATTTTAAAAAGTTCAAGATTAAAAAACGAAGAAAAAACATTAAAAATAGAAAAAAAAAAATTTAAGTAAACAGTGAAATTTGCTATTACATATAAAGAACAGAATTTAAAAAAAAATGTGCTCAACAATTTCATTGAATATTTTCAGTCTTTGATAAAAAAAAATTCTGTGACAATTTATAATTATAAGGATTAATTAGTTAACAATTATAAAAACAATATATTAATTATTTTTATAATTTTTTTAATTTAAAAATAATGTTTTTTTATTCAAAATTTTTTTTTTAAATTTGATATAAAATTATTTTTTTCACATTATTATTTACCTTTAACATATTTAATACATTGAATTCCAATCTGATAATTTTTCAATTCGGTAATTATCGTATAAAATAATTAAACAATAAATAAATCTGTGTCAAAAAATTTTTATATCATCCACTTATAACGATGATACGTGATTAAATTTCACATATAAACAATTAATTAATTAAAAAGATTAATATATCAATAAATTGCATCTATATACTTGATTCATTGAAATCAATATATTTATATACGAAAAAAAACAGTATTTCATAATAATGAAATTGAAAAATTGTCCATTAATTCCGCGGACAATTAGAGAATGAAAAAAATAATAAGATAAAATCATTTGGCTTTCACAT